GTCTCTGTGCTGTGATGCGGTTGGAAACCAGATTGAAAATTGTCCAGGTATCCATTTGAGTGTAAGTATTTGTTCAGCTGATTAAAGACTACCTTTTCAATAATCTTTCCTATAAAAGGAAGATTTGATATTGGTCTGTAGTTGCTCAATATGGTGTTATCATGATTGCTCTTTTTCAGAAGGTGTTTAACAACTGCAGTTTTCAGGGAGTTTGTAAAAGTCCCAGAAAGAAGTGAGGCATTCACCACTTCTAAGAGATCTGCTTCTGAACAGTTAAGCACCCTTTTGAAAAAATGTGTGGGAAGTGTGTCAAGATAGCAGGTTGACGATTAATGCCGAGTTCACACTGCACGATTTTCAAACTTGTCGGATCGCCGTTGTTTTCACACTGCGTGACTATCTGGGGTAGCATTCAGTTGCTGCTGTGTTCACATTGCACGATGAATCGGCGACAGGGGGTTTCACACTGCATGACTTCACAATAGGAAGAATCGCCGACAGCTCTGTCTGGTCCGCAAAGGATTAATGTTCCAAGAGTTCTTGACCACCATGTTGGTGCACAAGTGAGTCCTGGAATGCAGCCATCTTCTTTGTTCGTGGTAGGAGCTGAATTATGTAGATGTGGAGTCTACACTTTGTGCGATGTCCATGATGATTACTAGTACGGCAATCTTGATCATGTTGATGGATGACTGAAGTTCCCGAATGTGATTCTCTGCGTTATGTATTTAAATTTTTATTTTTTTTTTTCTTCCGTGACAGTTGGCTCGGCAGTGGGTCTAGTTGTCTTTTAGAGGTTGTGGCTTCATACGCAGGTGAGGAGGTCGGTGCGTATGGGTCTCGGGACAGCCATCAAGTGGTATCTGCACAGAGTAAGAAAGAAAACAAAAGACGACAGAGCAGTATTTGTTGTAAAAGACTGAAAACACTAGGGTTGTATCCTTTGGTCGATCTGAGTCTGCACACAGGTGATGAGGTCGGTGCGTATGGGTCTCGGGACAGCCATCAAGTGGTATCTGCACAGAGTAAGAAAGAAAACAAAAGACGACAGAGCAGTATTTGTTGTAAAAGACTGCAAACACTAGGGTTGTATCCTTTGTTCGATCTGAGTCAGCTATTGTTGTTCCTTTTTTCCCTATTTCTTAATTCCTGCGACACCTAAAGAACAGTGAGGTAAAGATGGACTAGTGGATGGGGAAGGCCTATTAGGGATTCTTCACCCCAGGGTTGGCCCCCGAAGCCTGTTGCATTCGGTTCTTCCCTGGGCTCCTCACTGGTCCGTGTGTCCTATCCTATCCCTGTGGGTGGGGGAACAACTTTACAGTGTGATACATGAGTCCAGGTTTTCCTTCCCTGACACAACACTGCAGCTGCTGTAATCAACATCACTTGATGTGGTCCGTGACACTTAGGCTGTAACGGCTTGTTTCTGAATGACTTTATCATGACCCACTGACCTGGGATGATTGTGTCCTCCTTTTGGTGGAGTCTGCCAACACGACTCAACTCTCTCTCTGGCACTCTGTGCTCATCTGTTACCTTCAAAGACTTGAGCTGAACCATCAACAAACAACTCCAATTCTGCATTCTCTATGGGAGTTTCTGTTACTTTACTCGTAGGTGCGTATGTAAGCATAACACAATCGTGAGTCATTTCTCCTTCATCCTCTAACACAACTTCAGTCATTGCAGACATCATACATGAGGATGGGTTCGTGACTGACGCACACTGTAAAACAATGTTCGGGGCTGTGAGGGTTATTAACCATTTTCCCCAACGAGAGGAGGTGACAAGTGACTTTTGCTTGATTCATTAGTTACACTGCATGAGGGCATCTTACGTTCACAGTCTGTCTGTTAGCCAATTTTGTAGGAATTACTGTCATTTCTGCACCTGTATCAAGTAAAAAGTCAATCTCTTTCTCTTGTACAAGCAAAAAGTCAATCTCTTTCTCTTGTATGCTACCTTTCACAAAAATTATTTTGTCATTGTGATGGATTACAGAGGAAATTAAGCACTCCCAGCCCTAACAGTTAACACCGGAGCAAGCTGCTCCAACAGTTTGGTGAAGTGAGGAGGGGCTGCTTCAGAGTAGTAAACCTGAGCAAGCTGCTCCAACAGTTTGGTGAAGTGGGGAGGGGCTGCTTCAGAGTAGTAAGTAGACTGAGTAGGAGCTGAGTAAAGCTGTTAATTTCTCCTAATATCTTCTTGCTTTTCCTACTCTCTTTCATCCAGTGTCCAGGTTTACCACAGTAATGACAACTGCCCTCCCTCTTAGGACTTTTACGTTTCTGTCGGTTCTCTCTGTTGACCTGAAACGATACTGCTGCAATCTTTACTCTGGCTTTAACATCAGTCTCTTTTCCATGTAGCTAACCTGTCCAAGTTGTTTTGCAAACTTCCAGTGGACCATGTTAGATCTAAGAATGGCAAAGCAGATCTGTACTCTGATAAAAGGCCATCAAACCATGCTCGAACTAGTGGTCCTTTATGATCCAGTACCTTCTCTGGAGTGTCAGCTATTCCACTGTATGCTGCAGCTGACTGACAAAACCTTTTTTGTTTGTCATTTACCTTAAATGCTAAATACAATGTACTTCACCTTAGTTTTTCATGTGATGCTATGTCAGAACTGTAAGGCCTCTGCGAATATCACACAAATGAACGATTGAATCTCTGCATTCCACCGGAAAAACTAAAGACTCTCCTCCCCAGCTATCTGCGGTCGTAAAGAAGATCAGTGATCAACAGGGCACCTAATTGTCTGGACCTGCTTACGGTCAAGGCCTGGTCCTTATCCCTTAGGGGGATCTGAACTGCTTAAACCCTAACTATCACCAGGAGAGAAGAAACTCCCTCTGTCTAAAGACCCTTCGAGGACCAGATGTGCAGTGTAACGTTGACCGGCTTCAGCATAAATAAACCAGCTAATAAACAACAGAACAAAGAACATGGTATCTGGAAATGTTCCAGCGACAGACCAGATGCGTGATACCCATGACCATTTAACACATAAATTGATAATCCCGTCAACAAAAGAGACAATTTTATAGCTCCATGTCCGAGCGAGAAGAATGGCAGACATACACTCGTGACATGGGCATGACCTCAGGACACCTCCCCTTTTCCCCCTGCATTCCAAAAAAAAGGGACGCATCCTTTTAC